AATGATTCCATGCAAATTTCATGTTACACGGTGTTTGATAGACCCGCCCTTTTACCACAGGATAAGCTAACCACGAAAAGGAACATTGTGATACCAATGGTATATTGTATTCCTATAGACGTAATTCGTTGCTTTTGGATAATGCAGGAAGGGTCCGTGCGGATGGCCTGAGCGGCGAGAACCCGAACATGAAAGGAAGGAATGGCGATCGGAAGTACAAGTACTAGTAGGCTTCTGTGAAAAGCTAAGTTTGATGAACGATCCTTGGTCGCATAAGGGCCGGTCAGTCTCACATACGTGTTGACTTGCCTTCACGCGTGCACTTGACTTAGCTTCTCTATCTTCCTTTATCTGCTTTAGAGCGTCCTGCAGCTCATGAACGGAATATCGGCTGCGCTTATAAGTGATGCCCTCCCGAGTTGAACGGACGAGCGTTTCTCGTCCTGGCTTCGAGAACCACTGACACCACATGCAGCTACTGTTCCACGACATCCAATACCCAGGCCTTCTACTCCTGGAGGAGTGCATGCTTCCTTCCTCGGCTCCTTCTTTACCAAGGTGCTTCTGGACAAGTATCATTCGCCCCTTCAGCTCCTATTATTATTCAATCGAGGCAAAAACAACCAACATCATCTATCTGCTGACCGTTGCGTTAAGTGCTACGCCAGTGCAAAATACCTTGCTGGATTTGTTGAACTATCTGTGTCCCTTCCGGTTATCTCTGGAAGCTTGTTTCCATATTTACTGTGTCTATCTTCGACAAATGGACTGTTGATAATGCAGACATTCCGAGTTCTTCAGGTAGCTTCGAATTTTCCCTTGGGTCGGGAAGCCATGGTTCGATTCTCCATCAGGAGGAGATATACCTGCCGACGCCACGAAAACTTATCATGGAAACCTCGAGTAACTACTTTCTCAAGTGGATATACTTGGCTACGCACTGAGCTTGGTCAAAGCATTTATATACTCAACAAAGTGAATCTCACAGGGACCTAAACCTCTCGACATGGTCAATACTCAAGGCAATGGTGACGGTTCGTATTTACCACAGCACACCATATACATGTTCTCGAAGGTTACAAAGGAGGAATGTGTGTGTTCAACAGCTGCTCCCAACTCAAATCACTACAGCTATCATTCATCAGCGGAATATGCGGTGCTCGCGATCATCAATATTTCGAAGGCGTCTACTGAAACTGGTCGACTAGAGCTCGCTTCCCAAGTGTGTCAAGCTATGAACCAGCAAGGTTCGATTGACGAGTGCAGCATGCCGCTTCTTTTACACATCTTACAGTTTTTTTCTACGTCGTGAACCATGGCTACATTCAAGAGCAGGTACGAATGTCGCATTTATTGAATAACATCTTATGAATTCGATCTTGGAAGACTCTCAGGATCTTCAGCATTGCGAAGATGACCTTCGACGATGTCGTCAGAGAAGAGAAGGAATTGTAAGTCGGAAAGTCCCCCGAGTTCCATTAGGGATATAAACCGAAGCAGAGCTAGATCTTTTGGTCACCATCAGCGTCGAAAAATGCATGTTAATGCTTCTCTGATAGATCATTAACAACTATATCCATGATCAAATCGAGCATTTCAATAGTTGCTGACTTTTGTTCTTGATTTCAACATTCTGCTGATATTGGCGATAACAGTCAATAAACTAAATAATCAAGAGTATCCAAAGATATCTCAGTCCATCAGCACCAATTCAATGCTGAAGGAGAATCTTCAAGTATGAATCATCATTTTTACGTGAAACCTTTAATACTGATGTTTATACGATCCTATTAGTTCGATTTATGAAGTAGTACGTCGAGTGCTTACGCATAACTCAGTACCTTTTTCTCATACAATCTCAAGCTTTTCTCGTACCGAAGAGGAAGAAGAAAAATCAGAGAGTGTGTGGTTGAAAGGACATCATGGTATGGGGTTTTCGTGATGAAATATGAAGACGAATCGACTCAACACTCTAGCTATCGATTGTTTAACCGTCCTCTGGTCTCAACCCATATGTGACTTACAAACCTTATCACCTGACGGCAAATGGAGGTAGGTCAAACATATGGACAACAAATTGGTGGGATTGAGACTTATCCCGCAATCGATTCCAAACCTGATCAAAGAATATCAGGTCATGAAGACGGGCGATGGACTGAACTTCTTGTGTGGGAGAAATCATCCTGAGTCATCCAGCCGCCCGTTGATCAGGCAAATTGTATTCACCTTGGAGTATTCTACTTCTGTTTTTCTGATGATAAAGTCCAACTTGTTCCACACACACACAGTCCCGTCTTGTGAAGGGTTGGTATCAAACCGCTTCTGAAACCTAGTGACGCTGCTCCGACTATGAAGGAGTGGAGACAGAATCGAGTAGAGTCTTATGCACATGTGAAGTTGACGGAAGGAGCTGAGAAATACATAGAGGAGGAGATTGTATGCGGTGCCGTCGTAAAGCATTACACTTGGACATTTCTTGATTCAAGCGGACAACTACATATAATCCAGTTCTTAAGCACTGATTATAGATAGAATTTAAACCGAGTGTAAAGGTTTCTTGTTGATTACCTGACGAAATATCTCCAAGGACGCCGCAGGCTGAAAAGCGGGCTAAGTAAAGTAGTATCAGGAAACGCCGCAAATAAATAAATAAATAAATCATACAACTTCATGGCCTGCCTCATAAACTCGTCTTTGAGCCACAACATAAGCCGATTATGTAGGGAAATATGAATAATTATACACTTACGCGAAGGAGAAATTCCCAACGTTCTGGACTGCGGCAACTGCAGTTCCGTCAATGGTCATATTCGTAAACGGTGTATTCGCTAGGGCTTCTTTTCCAGACCAGTCCATAGCGAGGACAGACGCATGTCCTCCTAGCCAGTTGCAGCTGGAAAGAAATCAATTTCTCTTCTGATGCAAGGGAACCTAAACGACCACATACTTGATATCAGCATCACCTGCCCAAATCAACATGTTAAGCCCCGAGTTCGCTAATGCAGCTAACTGAGGTAGAAGCGTTCTTGCGTCCTGCAGATTTGCTTATATTAATAGATCGACGCGTCCAAAATAATGTAAACTTACATCTCCTGTTCGGACGAACAGCTCGAATGGAGCATCGGCACATTCAGAGTAGTCGCTCGTGGCGCCGATCCTTTTCTTAACCGTTGCATTGCCCAAGAAGTCGATATAAAAGCTAGGAGGGAAAAGAGCAGAGGAATTCTGTCTGAGATCGTCGGAGTCGCGATCACCGACTGCAGGAACGAAAATTTTCTCAACCTAATTGTCTATTGTGAACCAACGGAAGGGAACATTGAAAGGGGCGACACGACATACACAGAAATTGTCAGCAGTGCGGCAGATTCTGTTGGAGCTGCTCGAATTTCCCGCTGCGTAGCACGCTTGCTCTTGCTCCAAGCATCCGCCCTTACCAAAGTACGCTTTATTCATCTCTTCAAGCACTTTATCACTTTGAAGCTGTCCATATCCGGGAGCGTCCGTAGCAAAATCTATGTAGGCCTTATTTTGAATGAGTGGGTCATACCAACCACTACGAGGAAATCTCAGGAATACTCTGAAAGTAAGCACATGAAGCTTACTTGTTGATCATTAAGGCGCTGACAACGATCTCGACCCCTTCAATTGCCCCTTGCTGAATCAAAGCGTTTTGTTGATCAAAGTAGGTTACGAAAGCTGGCCCATAATGACCACCGTAACTTTCAGTGGCAAAGATAAATCTAGGGAGAGTAAAATAGACCCGAAGTAGAACCTTCAGAAAGAACTTACTCTCTGCTCTCGAATTTCGAAAACTGTCCACTCTCGAATAAAATCTGGAATGCCATCCAAATGAACGGGGCCGCCGATAGTGTACTGTTAACGGTGTCCGTCCCGAAAGAGAAACCCGTCCCGATGGGTTGATCGATGTAAATCGCTGCAACGCGTGTAAGAGCAGTATGAATATATAACGTGAGAGAGTATTTACTATTGCTAAGGTTGTTCCAACTGTCGGATGCATTTTGAGTATAAATAGCGAAAAGCGAAAGAAATAAAAACCTGTATGGGTTAAGGACAGTGGTCGCACCATCAGGGTTTACAAGGCAGGGCCCATTTTCTGAAATGGGACACTTGGAAATACTTATGCAGACGATGGCGAATATATACGATACCTTGGAAAAGGCCAATCATTGACGAGCATCCTGGGCCACCATTCAGCCTGTTGTTAGTGAATTTGAACGACCACTCCAGGTACACATACTTCGTTGACTGACCATAAGGTAAACGGTGCCGTTTCTGGCGATTCTCGGGCCTCAAAAAACCAGAACCACTGTTATCGATTTCAGCAGAAATCCAGGGAGGAAAAAGAGAGGTCAAACCATTGACATGTTCGTTCCAACGTCAATGTATCCGGAAACTTGATGTACTCCAGCGGTTGTTTCGCAGATGCCTGAATCTTCCACGTAACGTAGTTGAACATCCCCAAGAATGCTGGAGTTGAAGCGCTTATGAATAGTGAACTCCGGTCCCGCTGAGACCGGAGTCCCTTTGGTTTTGAGGATTAAGAGCAGGAACAACAACGAGATGAGGGGGAAGAACTGCGCAGACATAGAGGCAAGAGCACGAGAAACGCCGTATGCTGCTTCGTGTGGGACAGGCAATAAGTAGGTATACCATGGTCAACCAGGCCGATAGACCGCATGGTGCAGTACAAATTTAAGCTATTAATAGACAAGCGAAGCCAAGATTACGACGTTCAAGCTCTATGAAAATGCTTCCAACCTCATGAGACGGGACGGTGACAAATAACCTTGTCAGTGGTTTCCAAACGATGTCTTGCCTTTTGTCAGTGCGACTTTGACTATGGAGAAGTAGGTGCATTCATAGGGAGGAGATAGGGTCGGCCTCTTTAGAGCCGGTATCCAGCAACACGATAAGGCCAAAATCACAAGGACCTGGAAATACGGAGGATACATATAAACTTAATGGCTCATCGTTCTTGACCGACCTTAGCTCAGTTGGAAGAGCATCAGACTGTAACCGGTTACTTAATCACGACATCTGGGTGTCGCCTGTTCGAACCAGGCAGGTCGGATTTTTGATCCGATGTATTTTTTTCCCTTTTGGACGTGGGGAATGCCATCAGGCAGTGGAAACTTAGGAGCCATGGAGGAATGAGGGCGGAAGAGATACATAGATCGGTCATCCGATCGTAAAATTTGACAAACGATCGGCCCATATCGATCGGTCGAGGAGCTTTGAATTCAGGATATTCTAACTATGACACTCGCTTGTAGATAATATGTCATTTAAGTACACTATATCAGATTGACATCAACAGACGTAATACAGAACAGCAACCAATGTGCATCAGAAAAAATAGGCGGCAGTGAGAAGAGTGAACCACCATCCGCGATATAAAACTGGCTATCCCTCTTCATCCCAGAGTCGGGTTGCACAGTCGACCACTCCGGATCCCTTAGTGTAACGACCATCTCCCCTACCAGCGAATTTTCTTCAGCTTCTCCAACAGCACTGCTTCCTTGTACCGCCAAACGTGTGGCGATCACATCCAGAGGTGTGACGATGATCGTGAAGACGATGGCCAGGATGTAATACAGAGCTAGTGACAGGTTGCTGATGGGATATGCCGATTGATTTGCCCAGGTGAGCAAGAGGTTTCTGATGGGCCCGAATACGACGGTACTGGTGACTGTAATAGTCGCCGTTGTTGAAAGGAGGCCAGAAGGAAATAACGTTGGAACAAGCAAAGCGTTCCAAGACCTTATTAAGTGGAGAACACTCAAGTCGTGCGGCGTTACCATGGAACTATTACAGGTATAGGGTTTAGTATAGCGTCTTTCAGCAAGCGAAAATTATACCGATAAACAATGACTCTGAGTAGCATACCCATGATGATAGACAATGAGATAGCCACTGCAGTCCCTACAATGCCAAGTGGAGGAATCTGAGGAATACCTTGTCTAACATTAGGCCGATAGTTTGTGAACAACGCCACTCCAAAGCAGATGGAGAAAAAGCAAAAAAAAAATAATTTTAAATTTTAAAATAGAGGGGCTAAAGATTCGTGGTCAGTATCGTACTCGAGATCCCGAAAACATGCCTACCATATCCCTTGAAGAACCCTTTCCAACCTAATGTGCTTCTGATGAAAAGGTACAGGAAAAGGAAACCGCGTCTCCGTACATCAATCCGATATATCCGCCTCGCCATACCCAAGTATGTATACGTGAAGAAGCCTGCATAACAATTATACCAGAAAATTAAATCTTGAAACGGCTCCCGGACCCGTTGGTGCAGCATTCTCTTCGTCAAATGTGATTCGACTCTTGGGAGTGTAATTCGCTCTGAATCGCACAAGAATGCCCATCAGTGGTACGGTGACAGCCAGCGAAATGGCCAAAGCGGGTAAAAGTAGAAATACAATGAGAGCAGTCTCCATTGTGATGTTTTGACTTGTGTCGTTTTGAGCAAAAAAGATACGGGAAGGGAACAGCAACCTTTACAACCAGAGTAGCGAAACGTTTCGGGGCTCGGGTATTATGGAAAATTGGTGATAACAATCACAGCTGAAAACAGGACAAGGATCACTCAAAGAACCACCTCAGTCTTCAAATTCCAACAGTTCGGTTTTGTTTACCGGTTGTAGATGAACATGTAACCAACATACTATTATTTTGTAACGAAAGTTGTCAACGACGATGACGAAAGATCGCAGCTTCAGAAATGATAAAATCGATCTTTTCTTTGTTGTAATCATCGGGAATGACGGTCAGGTTATTGCCGTTTAGTTGCATTAGCACCTGTGAAGACTGTTTCAGCCCAACTCGATTGTTTGACACAGATACAAGTGTTACCTGTTGAGTTGGTGTGTACTGGGGCCATGTGGGACCTAAGGTGTACTATATTGAGGGTCGATAAAGCTGTATTAGGCGAAGAATACGTACGTGATGAGCCACGGCCGTCGTTAGGGTCCAGACTCGTTGCAAAAGACACCCAATAGTCAATGATCGCTACGCTTAACGCATTCGCTGAAGCCGATTGATTGGGAGACCCCAAGGTGCCATACACAAATGGTATTTCGCTGCCATGAGAGACTTTGTAGGATATTAGAAGTCAACCTACTAATGCAATGGCGAACAAAACCCACCTCCAAGGTCAGCCGGGATAGTAGAAAGAGGCTGCGTAAAGCGGTATCCAAAAGCTTTAACACCTGATTCTGAGGTGGTTTGAATCCAGTAGCGTCTTTGGGAGTCAAACGATAAATCGCCCGCTTCAAGATACCTTAAGCAGGTGAAGAACGGGCAACAGAACGAACCAACTCAACGCGGCGCATTTCTTAAAGAGAGGCGATAGGCCAAACGTCTCATTGCCCGTATTGTACGGAGAGCCAGCAGAGGGATCGTCAGGATACAATGCCAATATTTCATCCAGAACGCTGTCAGGAACTGTTGGGGGAGATAAGTTCGTGTTCAAGATTTCTCGGAGGACATCATTAGTATAGTTCAACTCCGTGGGACAGAACAAAGTCCCTGGACAGATGGTCAGTGTTTCAGAAGAAGGAATGATTAGGCAAGTCGTACCTTCGTCCAGGTTGGTACCAGCGATAAAAGGTAATCGAGCGAACTGGCCTTGGCGGAATAATTGAGAAGGCAAACCTGGGAAAACACCTGAGGGTCCATCAAGTGTTGGATCGTAAGGAAACGCATCGTCTGCTTCTGCAAAGGCCTGCAACAACCCTTCAAGGATATCTGAAGAGCTGACAGATTGTAAGCAGTTTACTGTAAACAATGTCCCGACAAAGGAACTGCAGCTTGGTATTCCCCGGACAAAATTGGTCCAGGAGTTTTCTCGACGTTGAGCATTGAATGTGGGGGACGAAGTCGCCGACCCGGACTCGAATATCTACGGCTGATAAGTGAATGGATCGAATCTTGGTTAGCCATACGTACCGCCGCTCTTGCAAACTTGGATATAGATGGGTGTAGAAAGAGTACGGACGTCATGATAGAACCTGCGCTCTCTCCAAAGACTGTCACCTGTTACACGTTAATCCGATGTTATATATTGGCAACATTCAAACCTACCTTGTCCTTATCCCCTCCGAATGCGCCAATATTTACCTGGACCCATTCTAGTGCCGCCAGCTGGTCCTTAATGGCGAGATTGAGTATGCCTCGAGATGCAGCTTCTGCTCCCTGGGGAAAACCGAGAGGTCCAAGACGGTAGTTGAAATTAACATAGATAATAGGCGTTCCCTGGATTCATGGTGCATCAACAATACGTACGAACCAAAATTCCACGGCAGCCCTTACCCTTACAACACTTTGAGCAACGATAGCGCTGCCATTGAATGCGGATGCAGAACCTGATTCAAAGCCGCCACCGTACGTCCTGTGGGCAAACGCCGTCAATAAAGAGCCTTGCGGGCGTGGAGTACGATTACCAAAATAGCACAGGCAAAGACGATCGGTTCGTAACCCCACTCGGACGAAGGATATTAATAGTCAAGCAGTCTTCTGAAATAGTGATATTGGACGTTTTCTATGGAGTAGTTAAGCTACGTGCACATAAGACCGCAAGATGCTTACCGGTTGGAGACAGGATGATCCAAAACTGCTCGCGTTGAAAAATCCTGCGTCAAGCTGTGTTTTTAATACTGGTGGCCGCAAACGCAGTGACCCAAGGGGAGGTTTCGCGTACGGTATACCTGATTATTACTTGAGCGAGGATCATTAGCTCACAGACGGCGACGCACCTCCGAAAAAGTCTTGCTTGATTCCCACAATGTCCCTCCCTACTATTGTGGTCTTTCGTAGCTGAACTTGCGGAGAGCATGAAGCCGCAGTACAAAACAAAAGTACGTAATACACCAGAATTCTCATGGTGAAGAGAGGCTTGAAGTTGCTGGGTTCGCCGTTGACTTCCTGACAGACTAGGAAGATAGCAGCCAAAGCTGGATCATCCACTTGAGAAGTCCGTACTTATACATGACCCGAATTGATAATCAGATGATGGAGGCACTGCAATGATTTGTGTTTACTCTGAACTGAATGCCGCTTCGGTATGGGGAAACGGAGGAAGTCAAGGCACGCACTAAAATTAAAACCTTGGCGAATCACATCTCATTGCACCATGCGCTAAGAATGTACTTGGAATTATCTTCTCTTGAGACGCGTGCCGCGTCAGAGTTTCAGCCGTATTTGGCTCATAGAGATGCCTCACGAGGTGATGATTCCTGACCAACTGACGCATGCTACGCTGAGTATCACAGATTGACGACACACATGCGAAGCTTCTTTTCTCATTCAACCTCACTCAGCGCTCCGGACGGGTAGATATACGCATTGTCACCGAAAGAAAGACACGTCAATACGAACATATACTTTACCGGTTGAAAGCCTCGGCGTTAACCTTGAGGTCAGAATTCGATCTGTTCCTTGCAATAGTGATCCAGAATGACATACACGCTGCCACCATGCAGCTACAAGAGCATCTGAGGCGATGATCATTCAACACAACGCGCCTCGGCAGGTTCATTGTACCGTACCTCATTCTCAGGCGTGTACAACAGCCAAAATGGATCTGGAAGATAATCAACATGTGTTTGACAGACAATATGCGATCCACTCACGAGGTATCTCTAAGTTATCGTTGGGATCCAAGATCGTGACAAATGAAACCCAAAGTCGACTGTCATTTCGCCCAACCGGACCGATGAATCGAGATACCCACCACGGGGGAAAGTATCGTGGAATCATCCACCTGATTTTGAACGGCATGCGGTATAGTTGGATAGATAGATGAATAGGATGATAAATTACGAGAGTAAGTGCCCATACGCTTTCAAACCTACTCGAGCAGAAAGATTTGATGTTGAGTGTGAAATGTCAAGCCATCGCTTGGAAGAGGTGAGTGAATGATATTGAGAACTAGAGATCATGCCAACCTATAGCAGCCAGACTCTTAAAGCCACAGTAACCCAAAGGCTTCTTCTCCGGTGCTATACTGCAAGTGCACGGATGTCTTGCGAGGATATAGTTCGAGAAGTCGGCCCAAGATAGTAGATAACAG